GTGAGTTGCATAGTTGTCTAGAGGGTCCAACAGATTGGTTAATTTAGGTAAAAAGCACCACTATGCTCGTACAAAGGAAGGGATGCTGAAATACTTTTTATAGGTGCTTAGAGCCATTGAACCAAACTATAAACCAGAAATATCAAATGCCGTCCGTGGGCCATCCCTGGCTGGAGCAATTGCACAATCTGGCCCACGAATCTCAGTGGGCCAGGAGGTGGGGGGAGAGATTGTCCGTTCCCATGCCCTAAGCCCTGGCCCCTTCCCACCATTGCTCTACACTCTCCCCCTCAGGAAACCACTTAAAGCCAGAGAGTGCTGCAGCATCCGTGGCACCTTTAGTTCAAGCATTAAGGAGTTTTGTGTGTTGATGGGAGTCAAGTTAGGGATAATACTCAAGTTGTAACCTGAGTTACTTTTGCAGAAAGACAAGATTTTAGACCACGAATACACTTAAACTTCTATAGGGTCTCAGCTGCAATACTTCATTGTAGACACCATCTGTGCCAACCAGGAGTTGTCTCCTATCAGCATAGATTAGTGGTTCTCAAACTTTTTGGCCCATGGACCACCTGGATCAATGTAAACCTTTCTGTGGACTACCAGTTGCTAATGGAAACTTACCATTAATTACGTAATTACTCCTGAGCCATTTAACTAGCGCTGCAGCTGGGGAGAATGGTTTAATTGAAATTATTAAATAGATTAAGTGTTTTAACTTTCTCATGTTAGTTTATCAAACTCCATTTTAAACAAAGTAAAATATTAATTTATGTCCAACACAAAAGGTTTCAATGTTTTTTTATTTATTGCAGGGGTGGGGAACTTTTTTGGGTTGGGGGCCACTGACCCCCAGAAAAATCAATTGGGAACCACACAAGTGAGAAGCAACCCCCTCCTCCCTCCCAGTCCTCACTGATGTGACTCCCAATTGAGACACCTCACTCCTCTGGTGCTCCTGCCCCATGGGGTTAGGGGAAAGGACAGGAAGGACTGAGATTCAGGGCTTCACATAGGCCAGATTTATTTTTCTGGGGTTCCAGAGTCAGTGAATTTTATGGCTCCCCATTTAGGCTCTAGGGTGGGGACAAAAATGAGGGGCTCAGTGTGCAGAATAGGGCTGCCAGTGAGCGGGATAGGGATGGGGGTACAGGATCTGGGAGGTAGGTAGGGTGCAGAACCAGGCAGGGAGTAGGATGTCTGGACAGAGAGAGGGAGGAATGGGGAACGGGAGGGTTCAGTGTGTGGCCACGAGGGAGGGTGCAAGGAGCAATGGTGGATGTAAGGAATACGATGGGGGTATGTGCCTGGCCAGGGGGGAGGGTGCAGGAGTGGACTGGAGGTGGGGTGTCTAGCCAGAGGAAGGAAGCTGGGGGTAGGGAGTGCCTAGAGATAAAGCTGGGGGGAAAAGTGGCTGAGGTGGTTCAGGGAGATGGGGGGCAGAGTGCCCCTGGGAATAGGGCTGGGGTCAGGGTGCCTCAAGGGAGGGTTCAGGGAACTAGGGGGCAGGGAAGCTGGGCATGGCACAACAAGATGGGGGTTGGTGGGTGATCCCAGGATGTCCAGCCCTGCTGGGGCAGGGTCCCGTGGAGATCTGGTCCACGTTGCCTTTGGGAGGCGGGTGCTGAAGCAGCTCAAAACCTCCCCCCTAACGAAGTCCCTGCGGGTGCAAAGCCCCGAAGGGCTCCCAGCCCCCACCTGCATCCTGCAGGATCCTCACCCCCCCAATGCTGCCTCCTCAAACCGCTGCTGGATGCGGTGCAGCCTAACCTGCGGCCAGGGAAGGGGGAGGGCACCAGCTGTTCGCGCACTCTGACAGCCCACCTGGCCGGGCCCCGTGCAGCCCAACATGCAGCCTGCCCCATGAGACCAATGGACAGGAGCACTGCTTCTTCGTGTATAGGCAGGGTGAGGTTGAACTCCCTCCGCAGATCACCTGGAAGGCGGCTACAGACCACTAGAGGTCCGTGGGCCGCACTTTGGGAATCACTGGCATAGATAATCCATCTCCCCAAGAGAAAGTAGTTAGGTCAATTGAAAAATTCTTCTGTTAACCTAGTGCTGTCTAAACTGCAAGTTAGTCAGCTTAGCTGTCTCTCTCAGAAGAGTGGATTTGTCACACTCCTGAGTGATGTAGCTATGCTGCCATAAATTCCCAGTGTAGACCTGCCCTTAAGCTCACCAAGAATGGCATGGACAAATGGATGATTCCCGGCTGGGTTACCTTTTTTACTGGAAGGGCCACATGCAGAGATGTATGACCCTTTCCTTCCAATATAAGATTTGATGATAACATTGCCTGGTTCTGGATTCACAGAGCAAACTTTGAACCAGCAGGTTTTCGATTTCACTTTATTTTGATGACATTGAGTTGCCTGTAACGGAGTACAATTCATCATTGTCACAAACACATTAGTAACTAGGGTTTGGGTGTATGCATGTAGGCCTTCAGAGGACATTCAAAAATGAGTCAGGCTCAAAAAGCTTGAGACTGACTGACTTAAAAGACAGGATCTTTTAAATCATGCATTTTAGATTATTTGTAATTGCCTACCAGCTTCTGAGATTTTTTAAGGTGAACTTGCTTCTACTTTTAAACTCTTTTCTACACTCATAAGACTTATAAACTTATTTTCATGCAAATGAAAGCTGAGATTTTCGAGTGCTGGAACTATAAGGAATACACCAAAAATCTCAAGATTGATGGTAAAATCATGAAAGTTGGCAGCACAGCCAGGGGATGGTAAGATCTCTTTAGCAGTCTGCAGCAGTGGTTTGGGTGGGAGGGTTGTGGGACTGTTCCATCCATTTCTGTTTATTAAGAGTTATCCAATCTTTATCTGCCTTTAGTGGTCATCAACCTAACAATGAACAAGAGTAGTAGCAATAGAGAGACTTGTAGGCCAGAAGGGGCTTTTGCGATAATTCAGTCTGACCTCCGGTATAACACGAGCCATCGGACTTCCTTGTACTGAGAAAAATTGGTCTGCCTAAATTAACTCTTCAGGCCCCATGTGCATACCTAACATGCAACACTAACATAGTGCTGTCCTCCCAACTTGCGTTTAGTTTGCTAGTGACTGACTCCCGGGGAGTGAAGTGCAGAAACCATTATCTCTTGAATGCTGGGGGAAAGGTTAAATCAAGGGACCTCTTTGGAGGGACCTATGGAGGAACACCTCATCTAAGGAACACGTTTGCTTTTCCGCTTTTTTTCACGGAAGAGCAAACGCGCTCTTTCGGAGAGCCTTGTATACCTTGTTTCACAAGGCATAAGGGCTCTGTCGAAAGAGGTGGCTTTTCTGCCATCTAGACTGGCGGAAAAGCCTCTTTCGCAAAAGAGATTGGAAGAAGCTACCAAATTGCAGAGCGCAATTTGCACAGCTTTTTCCGATAAAGCCCCATAGTCTACGCCTAGCTCGGAGTCTTACCCCACTGCAAATAAAAACCTAGAAATTGACCTTAAAAAGGCATGAAACTAACACTTTCACATCACTTTTACAGCATTGCCACCCCCAAATGCTTGAAAGTAATGAATTAGGCCCATCAAAAGTCATGACATTTGCTTTGACATCGCAAGATTATGATAAAATAATAGCTTTGATATTTTCTTAATTTGCCTTCAGCTTTCTGAGCCTTCAGTGTGTACCAGGGTCTCATGCTGAAGCTTTCTCTGCAGTCATGAGGGCTAGAAACGTCATTTTTGTTTAAGAATGAAGGCTGAAATCATCACGTATCCACTACTCCAGGAGCTGGAGCTTTAAGGAAAACAGTCATTAACATGGGAAACTCATGACAAAATCATGGGAGTTGGCAATACTGCTTTCACTTCTGTTGAAAAACCAGTTACTTTCAGTCGGCTCTTAAGCACAACACTACAGTGGCTGAGTTGCAGTTCTCACGGGGGAATATTTAAAATCAAACACCAAGAAAATTCCACATTTTAAAGCTGATAAAAAAAATTGAGATGTTTGAGGTATCTCTGGGCCACTGCCAGCAGGAAAGGAAAACAAACAGGCATAGGAGCTCTGGGCAGCTCTTTGTCCTGAAAGAAAGTAGAAGGTTCAAATCTTCTAGTTCTACATCAAGTAAAACTTCCATTTTTTGGCTTTCTATTTTGCCTTGGCTGTATCTATTCTGAGTCCCTGGCCTCCTCTCATCAACACCCTGACCCTCAGCAGAGGGATTCCCACTGCACAGGCAATTATCAGCCCTTTCTTATGTTATCTTAACCACCCTGCCTCTGTTTGTAAGCAAAATACTGACTCTCTGCCACAGGGACATCTCTCCTCTGTAGAACTCACATTCTGCACTGACAAAATACAGGACTATGTAGCACTTTAAAGACTAACAAGATGGTTTATTAGATGATGAGCTTTCGTGGGCCAGAGGAAGTGGGTCTGGCCCATGAAAGCTCATCATCTAATAAACCATCTTGTTAGTCTTTAAAGTGCTACATAGTCCTGTATTTTGTTTCAGCTACACCAGACTCACACGGCTACATTTCTGTCACTATTCTGCACTAAGGCCTATTCTGCAGTTAGGAACTCTGCTCCTGTATGTAAGCGGGGAGGGAGGTGCCTCCCCTCCACCGCAAATAGTGCCTCAGCAGGACAAGAGCATTTAGAGCTTTGTATTGAGGTGCTTTGACAGAGCTACAGGGGAACTGATGGAGAGTCTGTCAACACAATATAGGTTGCAACCAGCATTTAGTACTTCAAATCTCATCAAATCTGCTCAAAAATTTACCACAAACTGGGCCAAACTAACAAACATAATTACAAAAAAATCCTCTGCAAAATAGCGTTTTTTACTCTTGGCTCGTACTTCATAAAACCCTGTCTGCAGCTTCTGCTTTGTCTCCCAATTCATATCCAAGGGCTGTCATATTTCCTAGTTTTCTTAAGAATTGTGCTGCTGGTTTTCAGACAATTCACTGATGCCATGACGGTGGCATCACTGCAGGGCATTTGTGCTGTGTTTGCAGTGACAGGGCCTGACGTTCAAAGCTGGGCTTCATCCAGTTGCTTTAATGGGGTAGCAAGAGAATGCCTGCCTGCAAGCTACAGCAGTCGTGATGCCAAATCTGTTAAGGAAGCCTGCATTTCAGAGGTGAGAGCTCCCTTCCCTGTCTCATTAGGTGGTAGGATCTGCTTATCTGGCTTCACTTGAATTGTGTTGCAGTGCAGTCTTGCCTGCATCTTCCCTGTTCTTTTCTCGAATCATAGGCATTCTTCCTTTCTGTATTTGAGACTCCAATTAGGATACTGGATTGAAAAGGAGCCTAGAAGATACAGCAGGTATCCTGCAGTTTAAATCAACCGTGATTAGAGAGGAACAATTTCTATCTCCTTTTTTATTGAGGCATTGTCTGTCTCTGAGCATTAGCATTTGATCTTCTTAAAAGATGCCAGCGACAATTGAATATTCTTTAGAAATTGAGGTTTTACTGTTAAAAACCACTTGTATTTTTAGATTTCTGAATGTTTATTTTCTTTTCTTTTTTTTCTTTCTTTTTTTTTTTTTTTACTCGATGCAGTTGATCTTAGCTCCTTGTTTCTGATTTCTAGCATCTGTGTCAGGGAACAGAGCGAGCGACAGAAATAGAATCTCAGATCTTTGCTCAGTTAGTAGGGGATTTGTTCTTTGCTGTGGTGAAATGGGTGACAGCTACAGAAATGGTGGTGAGAATGAGTGAGGGAAAACCCAACCAGGCTCTTATTCCAAGACACAGAAACCTGGTGCACTAAAGCTTTAGAAAGTGCATACAAATGTCACATATCCCTCCCCCACCCAATAAAATCCTATAGGAGCATCCATGCACATTCATGTGCACGCGGATATCAATTTGATCTCAATTTCCTTGAGTCGCTAGCTCTCCTGAGCTAGCTGGCTTGCTTCCTCCCTGCTGCTGTCCCCCCCCCCCCCCCCCTTTTCTCACAAGCAAACCAGGAGTTAGCTGACTTAATCCTCCCTGCTTTTTCAGTGCCTGCTAACCAATTGGGTCTTACTGCCTGACTATTCACAGCTCCGTAACTGGGTGGCTCTATCACTCTTTCAACCAGGGAGCATTTGCTGTGGTGATTGGTTGCTGGGTCAGCCTGGGGTCATTCCACTCTGTCACAAGTCCTTCCTGTACATAGGCACAGAGGACCAAATGAAAGATGTGATTGCCTTTCCCTCTGTGTGTTGAATTTTTATTTTCTATGGGTCTTTTGGTATGATTTTCTTTCTTTTACAAAAGGGGATGTTGGAAAAAGCAGCTGTCATGCTCCAGACATGTGGGGTTGGGGACCTTTTTTTCCCCAAGAGTTGACAATCGAAGGCCCCACTGCTGCAAAACACATTGTGCTTAGCTCTAAGCTTCGGCGTAGTCACACCGCCTTCAGTCGGACTACTCCTGTGAGTGAAGTAACTCATGTTTATTAAAAGAGATGGCAGGATTGCAGATTAAGGACTTGATATACTGCTGATGAGCTACAGGAGGCAGGATGCCAGAATGGGAGCTTTCATTGGCCACAAGGGCAAGCAACAGTGGCTGGAAACAGAATGGTGCAAGTGGGGGGGAGAGGGTTTGGAGGAGTGGACGGTATGAGGGCAGAGCCTTAAGGCAATGGGCCGGGCAAGGCTGGGCCCCGGGACGAAGGTGGAGTGGGCCATGGTGCCTCCTCCCCGCAGCTTTAGGAAGCTTTTGCTGCTCGTGGGGTTTGCAAGCCTCTTGTTAGCAAAACTTTTTTTAATTACTATTATTTAAAGAAGGATTTTGGTCCCTGTGTAATGCTGACCAGTGCAATCAAATCTGGACCTCTGGAGCTTCATGCATGCCTCTATCATAGAATCCTAGGGCTGGAAGAGACCTCAGGAGGCTGTTGAGCCCAAAGCAGGACCAACCCCAACTAAATCATCCCAGCCAGGGCTTTATCAAGCTGGGACTCAAAAACCTCTAGAGAGATGGAAATTCTACCACCTCCCTAGGTAACCCATTTCAGTGCCTCGCCACCCTCCTAGGCTATGTCTAGACTGCAGGCTTCTTTCAAAAGAGGCTCTTTCGAAAGCATCTTTTGAAAGAGCCTCTTTCGAAAGATCGCGTCTAGACTGCAGGCGGATCTTTCGAAAGAGAAATCCGCTTTTTCGAAAGAGAGCACCCAGCGAGTCTGGATGCTCTCTTTCGAAGACGGCCTCTTTACATTGAAGAACGCCTCTTTCGAAAGAGGAGCTTTCGAAAGAAGGCGTTCTTCCTCGTGAAACAAGGTTTACCGCCATCGAAAGAAAAGCCGCGTTCTTTCGAAATTATTTCGAAAGAATGCGGCTTGAGTCTGGACGCAGGGGAAGTTCTTTTGAAAAAAGGCTACTTTTTTCGAAAGAACCCCTGAGTCTGGACACGGCCCTAGTGAAATAGTTTTTCCTAATATCCAACCTAGACCTCCCCCACTGTAACTTAAGACCATTGCTCCTTGTTCTACCATTTGTCACTACCGAGAACAGCTTTTCTCTACCTTCTTTGGAACCTCCCTTCAGGAACTTGAAGGCTGCTATCAAATTCTCTCCCCTCTCTCTCTTCCCCCCCAGCTCTCCTCTTCTGCAGACTAAAGAAGCACAAATCCCTCAGCCTCTCCTCGTACATCATGTGCTCCAGCCTCCTAATCATTTTGATTGTCCTCCGCTGGGCCCTCTACAATGCATCCTCATCCTTTCTGTAGTGGGGGGAGCAGAACTGGATGCAATACTCCAGATGTGGCATTACCAGTGCCATATAAAGGGGAATATGCTCCTCCTAATGCAACCTAATATGCCATTAGCCTTCTTGGCTACCAGAGCACACTGTTGACTCATATCCAGCGTCTCATCCACTGTAATCCCCAGGTCCTTCTCTGCTGAACTGCTACTTAGCTATTCGGTCCCCAGCCTGTAACAGTGCTTGGGATTCATCCGTCCCAAGTTCAGGACCCTGCACTTGTCTTTGTTGAACCTCATGAGATTTCTTTTGGGCCAATCCTCCAATTTGTCTAGATCACTCTGGACCCTATTCCTACCCTCCAATGTATGTACCTGTCCCTCTAGCTTACTGTCATCTGCAAACTTATGGAGGGTACAATCCATCCCCTCATCCAGGTCATTAATAAAGATTTGGAACAAAACTGGCCCTAGAACTGATTCTTGGGGCACCCCACTTGAAACTTGACTGCCAACCAGACATCAAGCCATTGAACACTACACGTTGGGCCCGACAACCTAGCCAGCTTTCTATCCCCTTATCGTCCATTTATCCTATCCATACTGCTTAACTTGCTGGCAAAAATTATGTGGGAGACATTATCAAAAGCTTTGCTAAAGTCAAGGTATATCACATCCACTGACTTCCCCATCTCCACAGAGCCAGTTACCTCATCATAGAAGGTGTAATGGACAGGAGGACTATTGACCAACTCCCGGTGACTAAGGAGTTAAACTCAGGTAGCTAGCAAAGATGTTGGCCAGGAGAACCAATCGAGATAGAGCATTGAAATTTGAATTGGATATAGGTTCCTTGCCTGCTTTCTTTTGTGTGGGAGAGAGAAACCAGGAGTTGAGAGACACAGAATGATTTAAACCCAGGCAGGTCTATCATGTCTCCAAGGAATTTGGGGGATGGGAGTGCACTGAACAAAGAGAAAATTGTAAGTAAAGGGGTAAGAGAATCTAGTCATGTTCAGGGTAATTTTTCTTTATTTTGTAGTTTGGTTTGAACTGCTTTGTGTGATTCTATGCCTCCCCTCCCCATTTACTACCTTGCATTGTGCCCAGAGACTTTTCTCTGTGTTTTAATTTGTTTTCTTTAGTTGCTTTGTAACATCTAGTAAGCAAGAATGCTTTATCAAGTTCATCTTTTGTTTTGAAATAAAAATCACTTTTTTTAAGGTGATGATTTGATTCTTGTGTCCTGGGAAGGCTGTCTGTGTGTATCTGCATGCCTCTGACTGAAGAGTCAGCTACCAGAGAGAATGCAGCTTGTTTTTCTCTTTTCTTTTTTCAAACTCTTCTGGGGCAAAAGAGCTTGGGTACCCCTGGGGATGCTTTCAAGTGTTCACCCCTGGTTTTTAGAGGTAGAAAAGCACTTGATGGTGGCAACGATTCCCCAAAATCTATGTATTGTGATTCTGGGGGGAAGTTTTTTGTAACCAGTGCCTGTAGAGGCAAGGTTTTTAAGCTCTCTTGTGGGTCCTCACCTTCTGCACTCGCAGAAGGCAATCAGGTTGGTCAGGCATGACTTGCCCTGAGTGAATCCATGTTGACTATTTCTGATCACTTTCCTCTCTTCCAAGTGCTTCAATGTGGATTCCTTGAGGATCCTCCACCATAATTTTTCCACCCTAGTGTCCAACTAGTTCTGAAGCAGTAGCCACTATAATGGCTAATGCTGTAGCAAACTAGCCACACTCAACCAGCCAAATAGCCACATGTGGTGAGTGGCTAGTGTGTTGGAAACCATGGCTCTGTCATATGAGCTAAAAGCCAGCTGGCTCTTAGCTAAGGATGTAGAGCAGACTCATTATTCTCTCTGTACATGGTCTCAGTGCCACTACATGGAACAGTACACTGGACCTACAAGGTGTGTGGGATACACTTTCCTTGGAAATTTTGCCTTGGAAAGGTCAACTGATTGTAGGAGTGAAAGGAACAAACAGCTGGACAGAAAACATATGAGCTAAAAGCCAGCTGGCTCTTAGCTAAGGATGTAGAGCAGACTCATTATTCTCTCTGTACATGGTCTCAGTGCCACTACATGGAACAGTACACTGGACCTACAAGGTGTGTGGGATACACTTTCCTTGGAAATTTTGCCTTGGAAAGGTCAACTGATTGTAGGAGTGAAAGGAACAAACAGCTGGACAGAAAAT